ATGATTTAAAATCTGGCTGTTCAGACCAGGTCATAACTCCAGTTGTCTGCGCATGCACCTCTGCCACTAGCTTGCCACTATTACACATTACTAACTTTGTGTCTCCTTTCTCCCGTAGTGTGTCCTCTCTCTCTCTCCCTGTACCTTTCTGCAGGTTGCCCTGGCCCTGGAGCTCTATGTCTCTGACGAGCAGTCACCGGCCACATCGACCTGATCAGTGTTTGATTGTTGTGTCTTGTTGCTTTTCTTCTTTTGTCTCTCCTCTATCCACTCACCCCAACCGGTCGAGGCAGAAGGCCGCCCACCAAGAGCCGGGGTCTGTCGGAGGTTTCTTCCGTTAAAGGGAGTTTTTCCTCCCCACTGTCGCCAAGTGCTTGCTCAAGGGGGATTTGTTGGGTTTTCCCTATGTAATAATATTGATAACAGTAAGGTCTAGACCTTACTTTGTAAAGTGTCCTGAGATGACTTTTGTTGTGATTTGGCGCTATACAAATAAAATTTGATTTGATTTGATTTGATTTATTGACTCCAAGGAGGCCATGTTTGTGTCTAGTGTGTCAGACTATTCAAAAACAGATTTTTGTGAAACCTGGGCAGAAATGAGCAATGGGCTGAGGAGGAACTGGTTAGACTTCAATGCAAATAGTGTCACCGTGTGGTCATTTGATGAGCATTTAAAACTGTGATAACCTGCCACAGTAGTTGCACCCTGCCCATATGTGCTTTAATCTGCACGTTTATTGCTAAACTGTGCACATGAACTTGTTTCCTTCAGCAGGCTGTGTGAATGGTGATGATCATATATGGTAGCTGTCCTACTCCACCCCCTCACAGCAGAGATGTCCTTTTCATAGAGAGCGTGATAACACCAAGCACTGCTGAGCTGATTTGCATCACTCTCACACCTTTACTTTCAGACACCAAACAAGGGAAATGCTTAAATTGCCTCATCATGTCTCATCACATTTTTCGGTCATCAGTGGTTTACATGAATATTATTATTCCTATTGTGATACAATGGGGTGTCTGCATCACTCATACATAAAGGGAGATGAGTTGTAGGGATATGAGGCTTGTTTCTATTGGTACAAAGTTTTGAGTGACTCATTCCACTTTATGTTAAGTTGATGGATTTTCTTTTAAGGCGAGTTTTAATTCAGGCTTTGCTAGGAGTAGATAAAAACTCAATCCATAAGTCATGTTTCAGAGCACCGATAGTGTGCACAATTCTCCATTTTCTTATGCTTCACTTTTGTCTGACAATGTGTCAAAGGGTGAACCCACAATCTCACTTTCATTTGACTGGAGTCATCAGGAAATTAAAAGAAAAACAAACAAAAAAAAACAAACAAAATTAATATATTTCTTTACTTTAGTGTCAGGAGTTAAACACAATTAGTCCGATAGCAATGTCACTTTACAATGCTATAAAACCACTGGCTAAAATTAATACATCTGTCTGTGTACCTTTCTGTCTAAACATACATCTATTAATTTCACATGAGTGGAAGAGGGGGTGAGACTAAACATACTCCCACTTTGTCACCTGGTGCTCCGTTACTTATGTGGAAATTGTTCTTCTGTGCAAGTACAGATCACACAGCAGACATTGTTCCATCTATGATCCCAGATAATGCTGGATTAGATGATGAAGGAATAAAGACAACCATTTAGATCACTGTAGATTTTGTGAATATTGCTTTGCTTCTGTCTCTGTCCAGAGGAGATGGTAAGATAGAGTCATAGCAGCTCTCTGTGTGTGACCTGTGAGGTCAGTATAGTATGAGATGTAAGTTAATTTCTCTCAGATGTGTCAGTATCCAAATAGGTATGGCTGGTTAAAAGCGAGATACATGTTAAGATTTGGGTCATACTTTGTGCCTCCCAATCTTCTTTTGCATATACCTTGTTGTACTATTTCAGCAATAAACCTTAGGCCTAATTGCTGTGTAAATTTGCATTAACAACAGAAAATAAGACTCAGACTCATCTTTAATGGCCAAGTATGCTTGACCTTACAAGGAATGTGACTCTGGTACTGAGGCTCTGTGAGTGATTGTAAGACAACAGGAAACAGAAAACAATAATGCTAAAAAAAATAATAAATTAAAGGTAAGAAAACCGAAGATAAACAAATAGAAAAGTGTGCATTCAAATAGGAATATGAGCACTCCAAATTAGGGAAAGGATGATGGTAGACATTATAGGAGAGGGCTTTAAGCCCAACATACAGTAGATGATTATATTTACAATGTATTGCACTGGGGTGATTGTTGTGTCTTGTTGTACAGTCATGGATTAACTGTTCATCAGAGTGATGGCATGGCATTCAACCATACATGATGATAAGGAGGCTGTTAGACTCATATCCCATTGTATAGTATCATACAGTTTAATTGGAGCAATGAGTGTTGGTACCTGTCACCAAACCTTTGTTGCAGGCATGTCAATAAATTCACCACTAACAAATGGTTGTAGGAGCAGCTGACATGGAAGCAGACGCAGCCACCAGGGGATAACCTGACTTTTGACTGGCTCTGTCTCTCACTGACTTCAAAACCCAGAGTTGGGATAGTCATGAAAGCTACACTATGTATGTACATTGTTTGATTTCTTGTTCATTTCGCCATTGACCAATTAATATGAAACAAGTGCTGTACTTTAACAGGCTTTTAATAGAAAAGTTTACAGAAGTTCAACAAAACATTTAACAATATCAAATATAGGAGTCTTGAAAGTAAATGATGTTTATATTGTAAACTTTCGTTTTTCTTCGTTTTTGTGTATTTTGGACCAACAATGGGGCTACAGTGGTCACAGAGAACACAACTCTGCAACACGACGTTATGCTTGATGAAAAAAACTAATTATATATATAGACATATACATATATACAATGGTTTTGTTTTGTGTGGCTCTGTGGAGCCTACAATATAAATAAGGCGCAATGCAACTGCAACAATATCAGTGTAACACTGCACTGATGGCTTAACTATAAATTAGATAAGAAACCTTGTTATATCACATCTTTAGCAGGTTCAATAAACTTTCATGGTTACACAAATGATGGCGCGCAGCACAATTCCCCACACTGGTTGCGGGCAGACTTGTATAACCGTTTAGATAACATTCAGCCACGCTGACCCGCTGCAAACCAACCTTCAGCATCACTACATTCACCGGCAGCTGCGTCGTAGTGATTAGCCATGGGTCTCCACGTGAAAGCGGTGAGATCCTTATGTAAAGGATCGACGGCACCAGAGACCAGTAACAGCGCGGAGCGACAGTTGCCGTAGCCGACCACGTGGAGACGGGCAGCGCCATTGGTTCAGAGCGCTGTGAGGTAGAGACGGACGGCTCTCTGGAACAGTGAGCACAGAGCTGGACGGTGCGCCCGAAATGAGGTCACTTCCTGCGCTGGGGATCCAGGGCAGAGTACAGTCTCAGTGAGTGTGTAGAGCAGAAGAAGTAGTGAGAGCAGTGTGTCAGACCAGCGCAGGACCAGCGGAATCCGTGCGCTGTTTGTGTTCAGGATCCAGCTGCAGAGCGCTTTATTTTACGGAGACGGCGGAATTAGTAGAGGACCTGCCTTTTGTGGGGTTGGTGGAGTTTTTGCTACTTCAGTTGTATCGTGTTGTATATGTATTTTTGTGTGTTTTAAAACGTGTGAGATGAAGATTGTTTGGATATGTAAAATATTATGTTGTTGTGAAATGTGGAAGTTGCATAATTGTGTCAGTGTGAGGGTCAGTCCTGGTCAGTAGACTACCATAGACTCCAGCAGGGCACCGGGCCGGGGGGCGTGAACGCTTCCATGAGAAAACAATTACGCACCAGCAGGTGAAGTGCTCCAATTATTTGCGCTCAGAAGAATTAGATTTACATAAAGAGAGCAAATGCATTATGCAGTAAAGTTCAATATAGGCTATACCACGATACCGCAAGTTGAAATAGTGATGGTACGTGGTCAGTCACCATTGCGTTGTAGACGTGCCTTCTAGTGTCACTGAAAACTTAGGCATAGCGCCTTCCATAAAGAGTGCACTGCAGCAGCGCATGGCAAAAGTTCACATGCAGCAGCGATAAGAGAATTTGTGTGGTGAGACCCAGTGGGTTTCCTCGAAGACACGGTCATCGTGCTGTGACGCGTGAGGCAGTTCTCCCCTGTCTTCATTTAGTCAAGGGCACACTGTCTCATGGAAGAATTATTTTTTTATGTGCTTTGACCATTATGTTCATGCTGTCTGTCTCTGCGGTGGGAAGTAAATCTCAGCTACTATAATTCAATTTTATGAAGACTCTTATTTTTTTGGAAAGTGTGCCTTTAATACGCGGCATTTGTTTGACCCTAGAATTCAGTTGTAGCTACTAATCTAGTAGTAGGAGACCTTAGCGGACAATTAGCTGCAGGCTATGTAACTTACCTAATGCTGTTATCAGAAGCTATCTCTTGCATCACAGAATTGTTTAACTTTTCAGGAAACATGGGAGGGAACTGCATGTTTTTAAGTCTGATTACACAATGCATGTTTTTGCATTATGCAAAGAGTCATAACAATGGCTTAAAGTCAAACGTTAAATTAAGAATAATGTAAATAGATCTGCACGTAAAATGGTTTAGATGGGTGGTTTGTTTATTGTTATTGTTGTTAACTTTGCTTAAAGAAATATAAAGCCCAGTCTTGGAAGATGTAATCCAAAAATTAGGATTTAATTATATGAATGTTGCCAGTATTTGTTTAATCCAACATAATAAAATAGCATTTTGCCCTTAATCCTTTTGGTGAAACAGTCCGTATTTAGCTTTAAAACATGTAGCCTAATTTAGCAGGGTAGTCCAGCACCATCAGGAACAGGTCTGATGTGGTCATAGACGTACTCAGCTTAGAAAGAGAAGAGAACAAACATAATTTTATTGTTGCGCTCAGTGGAACATTTGGCATTGTGCCGGGTACAAATTTCCCCATCCAAAAGTGCTTTCTAATGTTTTTTTTGTCTGTGTTTCATAAGGCAGACTTTCTTCAAAGATTGGATGAGTACTCTCTAAACAGATCATGTTACAGGACAGTCTAGTGCACTAAACAAGTTGGAAAGTTACCACGTCATCTGTGCAGCAGTTTATGTGGAATATATCTGTTCCTTTCAGTCTATAGCTCTATGTGAAGTTCTCTAGCTGAATTATGGTGGTGAAAAAACTGAAGAGAAAAATGGCGATCTTAACCATCCCTCTGTAATGAGGCAGTTCCTTCTGAGTTTGGACATTAGTGACTTTGTCCTTTCATTAGCTACTAGGAAAATGGATACAGCCTTGGGTGGTCTAGGAATGTGTAGCACAATGTGTAGAGTACAGTGTGCATATGATCGATTACAACTATTTAAGATGTCAGTGAAGAGTACCTATCTACAAAGTTATTTTGCTGTAATGCACTGCCTTTTAGCTTGTTAATAAAACTGCAGCGTTGCACCACTGTGCAAGATGGCGACTACATGGCAAATGTGTAAAACAATGATTGATTGCAAATGCAATCAAATTTTCTTTTCCAGCTTTATATACAACTTTAGCTTTATTGGCTTTAAGCCATTTCTTAATTGAGAGTTCCATCTTTTTTGCAATGAAAGTGTGATGGCCTTTGGATGAACATTCTAAAAGTCCCATCATTGTCAGAAAGGACAACATGTTGCCACCAGCAAAGAATGGGCCTTTGATTGCATTAAAATGACTGAAAGGGCCCAGCTAAAGTAATAAATAACCTGTAATTATGTTATGTTTCCCATCTTTCCTTGTTACCCACCTGTTCCTCAGTGAACCTCACTGTAGGATGCAACTTAGTGGAGACAGGAAATCCACATTACTCTCTCCTCTGCTTACTTGCCTGCAGCAGCTCAGTGGGATGAAAGATTTAGTGAATGATGTGGAAAAACAAGAAAAAAAAACACAGAAGTAAAATTTATAGCTGAGTTGGACTGAACATATATTGACAGTTAAAAGACTGGTGCCCATAAAATGCCCATTCTTAGTGCTGGGACATCATGTGCAGACCTCTTGGTCTGCAGGTGAACAAGTCCCTCTTTTTTCATTTGTGTGCCCATTCAGCACAAACCGGCACTGTGCCAGTTGAGTTTTGGATCACAACACTAAACAGACCCATGTTGCACCTGCATTTGGGAGACTGTTGGTAACTGGCTGATGCTTGACACTGGTTAACCCTTCAGCTGGGGAGCTTTTCAAAGCATGGTCATCAATTAATTAATGGTGATTAAAGTTTTAAATACTAATATTAAGCATAGGAAATTTTACCGTGGTTTATTGTGAAACCAGTAACTGCTTCATCCCTGTTGTTTGGGAGAGTGTTGTCAAAAAAGCATGTATTTACATTGATATTTGAAGATGACCGGAAGCATCAGTGGCTACATGTCACTAGGCTAAAATGAAATATGTATATAATTAAAATGTGTATACAATATATTTGAGAAAGTTAATGCAGACTGTCTAGTGCTTTGACAGAAGTACATACAACAGAAGATAATGTTGAACTTACCTAAGTACAGAAATTGGCATTGCTTTTGACTTAGTCTCACAATTAAAAGAAAGGATTTCCAGAGAGAAGAATATTTCTCTGAGTTAAGGAGGACATGTATCTGTCTATATCTGCTCTATCTAAATTGCTCATTGACCCCGTATCTGGTTACAGTCTGTCTTATCTTCCAAACAGTAGATACCTCAGCTCTATAGAGCCAGATAGTGTTTATGAAACCATAGCATCACTGTAGGATCCCTGATTAGAAAGTCTCACTCTCTCCCCTCTGCTCTTTCTCCTCTACACCTCTACTCTCTCTCTCTCTGGCATGATAATGAGGTAATGAGGTGAATGTCAGGCAGTTAATGAGTGTGAACTCTTGGACTTAGTGAATCTCTGGAACATTGACAGTTAGCTCTTTAACTTTGGATCAGGATTTGAGTGCCTGGCACGTCTTCTGCAGCAGTGTCTGCCAAAAATGTCTCTGTGCAGCAAGAAACCCTGTCAGCTGTTTGTGCAGAGAACTCATTATGTACAGTGTGTTGGCTAAGTAATATTTCTCAGGTGGATGGTCCGCTGTGCATAATAGACGGCTTTAAGGAGATTATTTTTTTATTCTGTAGAAGATAGGTTAACTACAAAACATGCAGAAGAGAAGCCATTTGTCAAACTTATTACTCAGTAGTTTATCAAGCTGTCATGATTCTGTCTCTTCTGCTTCCATTGTCATGCTCTTTTAACACCACTTCCTGTCACAGTGTCATGTCAGCTATGGACTCTTCACATTAATCAGTGGCAATTGCTTGCACCTGTTTTCACCCCTTTATAGGCAGCTTCCACCCACCAGGAAGCTGCCAGATTGTTCTAACCCATGTTCAGACTTTTCAGCGTTTTTTCTTGTGCGTGTTTTTCAAGCTCTGACCCCGGATTGCCTTGTGACCACCGATTACTGCCTAACCCTACTGATTCTGTCTGTATTCTGTACATCGACTTATGGACTTCCTTACTGATCATTCTTCTTGTGGATACCATGGATGTGTGAGTTTGCTGGCTCTGACCCTGGACTGGATTATCGACCTGAGAGAGTTACATGTTGAGTCAGACTCCTGCATTGTGTATCATTTGTTTCTGACCAGTGCTCTGATTAAAGAGACAGTGTTTTGCTTATCCTCGTCTGCCCTTATAATTGAGTTCACCCTAGACATCATCGGCAGTTTTACACGCTGCCCCTGACATCACGCAGCCTCCAAATTGTACAGCATCAGTTGCTTACTTACGTTCTTGTAATTGTCTTGATAATGATGTCACCATATCCTGATCTAGATCACACAGCAGCAGGGATGAAGAAACCCAAGACTCATGAGGCTTCAGGCTTTTGCTTTCCAGTCAGCCCCATTTGTGTTTTCAATAAATAGCTGTACAGACACAGTCTAACTCAGACCTTTCGACAGATCATTAACAAAGCAACAGACTGTGCGTTACAATGCGTAGAAGCTTACAGTACATTAAATAAATCCTTGTGCTTTTAAGGGCTTGCTGCTTAACTAACACACATACACATATCTGTAGAGCTCAGGTGTATTAAGGAGGGCAAAGAGCTGTGTCTTAAGTTAGAGTAGAAAATAGACATTTTCCATTGCAGGATGGAGAGGAAAGCGTGCCATCACCTAGTCAGGTTATCCCTGGAAAACGGCTAAGCTGGAGGTTATGCTTAGGCGCTTTATGGCTTTCAAATTAACTTAACGTAACAGGCTGCCAGGAAACAGGATTATGTGAGGAATGCTTTTTTTCCTGTGGTCTAAATCTCACATTTGAACATAATTAACAGGTCAGCTTAGTTTTGTATTGCAAAATTAAAATGTAGTTGTTCCAGAATTCAGTTTGGAGAGTTGAAATACAAAAGTGCTTAATCATGGGTTCAATTACATCGTTATGGTATAATTACAATTTTACTATATAATTTTGGGCTGAAGTACCACACAGCCATCTCAGCCATTTGGCCTTTCACTTATTAGTGCATGTAATGTGTTTATGTCATTAATTTTCTTACAAATGATCATAGTCTGATTCTTGAACAGTTTGACACAGGCCATATGTGATGACGTGTCTCCACATGGATTTTGGTTTACCAGTCCAAGTCAAAAGTATTGTATTTAAAATATAAATGAATTTATTATTTAAAAACAATATGTAATTATGGCACATGACATTCGGGTAGCAGCTTTTCAGTTATAGTCAGTGCTTATATAAGCTGTCTCTAGCTAAAGTGCATGCTATGAATAATTTCATGCTGGATTCAAATTGAATAAAATGTTATCAAACTTAGCATAATGCATAAGCATAAGCATAATGCACCCCAGTCCTTGGTGAGGTCTCAAGTACATCTTTAGTAATCTCCTAGTTAAGTCACTTTCCCCCTGCACTTTACGCGAACTGTATTTTGTGTCACCTCAAGTAGACAGAGGGTATAAAAGATCCACAGTGGGTGGTTGGAACAGGCACTTACTGTATGTATACTTTCTCATTTTGCTGAAATCTGTCATTTATATAGCCTCGTTATCTGAGTTGACATTGATTTTGCTCAACACAGTGTGATGCTGCATCAGTCGACTACTGGAGGCCATAGAAAACTAAGCCAAAGTTGCACACTGTTGGCAAGCAAACTGTGATGGCATTCACATAAATGCTGTCAGGTGTCTTAGGGTGGGTAATCCTTTGAAAGGGTTGGAGAGCTCAGATGAGACAGACCTGCTGCTCTTAAAGGCCCCACTGTGTGTACCCATGAGGCTTTTTACTGTGCACTACATTAGAGAAACACCTGCAGAGCTCTTCAGAGGTTAAACCCTGCTGTGTGTTTTGATATTGTACCAGATAAAAGACAAAAAGACACCTTTTTGAAAGCAAATTGGTGCAGCATTGATTTAGATGAGATGTCTCAAACCTTTTTGAACTGTACACATATTTACTGTATGTGAATGTTTGAAGGCATCCTTGTATTCAAGCACCTTGCCAGTGTTTTTGAATCCTTTAACTTGCATAATATAAATCATATGTATCTTGCATTTTGCTGATTATTTTCTAGAGCCAACTGTGTATATTGGTTTCATGTCTTCTAGGAGGCCACTGATTTCACTTCATGACAGGCATGGCATTAAAATACTCTTTCTCTTGCAGAGACTTTAGACGTTCTTGACTCAGCTGATTGTTTCAGTCAACAGTTGTGTTGCTGCAATCACAGGATTCCAGCATATATTTACTCAATCATATGTTTTCTAATTATTTTAATTAAGCATAACTTACTGTGGACAAGCATTACTTCATTCCTAACATATAATTTTCTTCTTTCAGCAGATCAGTTCCCTTTCTCTCCTATTCCCTCCGACGAAACCCTTGTGAAAATGGCGTGATTGCGTCCTTTCATCATCCAGTCAACTAACCTGGAACAAGTCGAGGCAGCACACCTCTTCATATCAGAATATCCAGATTCCAAGCCCTATCACTACCCAGCGCTGGAGGACCAGGATGAAGCATTAGGGCGCAGAGCGTCCACCTCATGCAGCTCCATGCCAAGGGGGGCCTCAGGGTGCAGCTCCATGGCACAGCTGCACCGGATGGGTGGCTACAGTCAGGGTGGGCCTGACCTGGGCCTCCCCTCTGAGGGGAGTGACAGCAGTGGCCAGGAGCCTCCCGGTTCACCACACCACCATCGCAAGAACGTCCGTTCCCGATCCCTCCCAGAGGAGGATGTGGAGATGAAGAGCAGTGGCTCCAGCGGGAGCGGGACTGAGTCACATGGTAACGAGAGTCACGGCAATGAGAGTCACAGCCACGAGTCAACGGGCAGCTCCAACGGCAACAGTAAAGACTCAGCACTGCTGGAATCATCTGAAAGCAACAAGAGGTCAGTGGTTGATTGTGGGAATGATGAAGCCATTAGTAGGCCTGGGGTTTTCTTCTATTACTGTGACTGTAAGTATAAAGAGAAGAGAGAGATTGAGCTTGGTGGGGCCATTGGCAGTTTAGCATAAAAGCACCTGCATACTTATGTGATACATACATAATGGGCAGAAATACTCCCTCTATCCAGCAGTTTTTGGTGGGTCACCACTCTGATTTGCTTGAGTGACTATACACCCAAGTGTTGATTCCTTTTTCAAGGCTAAACTTTGAAAACTCTGAGGGGGAGGAAGTCAGGATGGGGAGTCAGCAGCTGGAGATATTAAATGAGATGAAGACCAAACATTTCTCATTTTAACAGGAAAAGCTCAGTTAGTTTACATGGCTAACAGGAAAACTGTTTTGCAAGCTGAGTGCTGTCCTCAGTGTAGACAAACAACTGCTTGTAAACGGAGTTTTGCTAATCCAGCCACACAATTACAGAGCGTTCTTAAGCACACAGTGTAAAGCATTAACAATGTGAGGATATACAGTATGCGTTAATTGCAATGCACTGCTAATACCAGTACACTTTTGAAGCTATGTGTCTACTAGTAGGTCAGCAGAAAAGAAACAACTAATAGTCTACATACAATTTGCAACAGTCATGGCTCACATCGCTGATACACGTCTGTTATGACAAGATTTCTAATATTTATAGAAAATTAAATGACAAAGCTAAAACTGAACAGGTGCTTTTAAAGTAGCATTCTTTGTGGGAACAATTCTGCTGGGTTCACTGTGCAGTCATAGTTAACCTTCATTGACATCTCTTCAGCATAAAAATGAAAAATTATGTCTGCCTTGCCTTCCACATCCTAGTCATAATGAATTCATCCATCAACATCAGACGTATTTGTCAGTGCTGACTAATGTCTGTAAATGAGTGAGCCAAGGTTTCAGTGATGGCTGTCAAATGCTTCACCAGGAAGCACATTTGAAACAAAAGTGAACCTTCTTAATAGGTTTTATCTGACTGTGAGAGCTTCTCTACAAAACTAATTGTGAGACTGATTTGAATCATAGCTTTTAAATTGTATTTTATGTAATGATACTCTTCCTGCCAACTGAGCACTCCTTGTATTTCAGTAAAATATCTGAAAATAAAGAGTGTGACATTTCATAGTAGTGTTATGAAAATCATGTTTATTTGGGAGGCTATAGGAGACGCTCACTGATATACGCTGCTCTGTGTGACTCCTCATTTTCTCAGAGCTCTTCAGTAATGAATTTAAAGGGTTGAGGCTTTTAATCTAACACTGGTATGGCACTACACCTTGGCTGACACCAGCATTTATTAATCTGACTAGGAGTTAATATTCATGAGGTGTCTTTTCCAGATGTTTAAGACTGACTTGTGTTATTAATGTCCCAGCTACGCCACACAAATTTTACTTTACTGGACTTGAAATAAACCTTGCTGGGTCTGTTAAGCCTATTGAGCTAAAGTGTTAAAGATGTGACAGTCTTGCGGTTGAATCACAAGGACAAAACATTTTAAAAAACTCACAAAAACTGCCTGGGTGCAACCACAGCATAGGTTCAGACATAATACAGTCTGAGGGTCTTGAGCAGTGAAAAAAACTGTTGCTCCCAGTAGGAAGACTAGACTGATGTCATCTGGGAACGTGGGAGACTGGCGGCCGGCTTCCTCCTCATGCCAGATGGGCTGTGTCACGCTCTCGAACTGTTTGTTTTTGCCATAGCAGCGTTTGTCTCCGTTTATTTCTGGGCAGAACGGGCAGAGTTGGTGGTTTCACTTTTCTTTTTTCTCTGCCCAGCCTCTCTTACCTTACTAACCTTTTGAGTCCAGATCTATTTTTAAACCACTCCTTCTTCCTGACCGCACCGTACATACACCAGCTCCCTCCCTCCCTCATTTGCTGACGTGATAACTGCAACTTAATCTCTCACTTTGATTCTCACCCCTCCCTCTCTTCAGCTGGACTTCTAACCTTTTGTATTTTTGTAAACCGGTCACTCAGTGGCAAAAATATAATTTCTACCTTCATCTCTAACTTTTTTTGTACCTCTTTCTTTCACTCTCTCTCATTTCTGGCTCCAGCTCTTTCACCCAAAATAGCTAAATGTAAAACAATACTGTATGTGTCAGCCAGACCATTTCCATAGTGACCATTTGTGTTTTATCACATGGCAGTTTTCCAAGAGATTAAGCCATTATTTGGTTTTTGGGATGTTTGTTGATTTTGACAGCAGCCATAGAATTTGCCATTAGCACCATTCCTCTTGTCACAAACATTCCACTTCATCCATCCAGCTGTACATGTTTATATGAGATGAGAAGGATAACATTTGCATTAGAGAAAGTGAGGGAAAATGTGGCTGTATTAGCGTTAGAACAATGTAGGCTAATGTAATTCTTAAAGAAACAGTTCCACATTTTGGTCAGATTTTTTGTTATTGCATTCAGTACAGAGAAATCCTTGTGACATGTTTAGGCTAGATTAACACGTGAACTGGAAGAAGGATGAGACTGTTTGTGTCTGATGAAAATTAATCTTTAATCTGACATTCGACATTGCTTTTTTTATTGTGAGTTTGTATTTGAACAGCTGAATGAAGGGCATTATGTACAGCTGGATGTCTTGCACATCACAGCTTTATGGCAACTGACAAAGAGACATCTGGGGTCATACAGTTGGTACGGAAAGTATTCAGACCCCCTTAAATTTTTCACTTATTGTTATATTGCAGCCATATGCTAAAATCATTTAAGTTCATTTTTTTTCCTCATTAATGTACACACAGCTAATTCAGAGGGCACTTTGCATAACCTGACCTACAGTCTGTGCCATCCTGCAAGACATTGATTTACTTTACTGTTATTAGATTGTTTGTTTGTTTTTCCTTTGTGCAATACAGTGTGGTACAATAATGTACATCAGTATCAAACTCAAAGATTCAGTAGATTTGGTGTATAGCATGTATTGACATTTGTGAATACACATGTCAACTTTCATGTGTGAGCACAGCATACTGAAATCTTCTCACTTTAATTTGAAACTCTCTTTTAATGGTTTTAACAGCTCAAAATGTCCATCTTGAGCACCATCTATTAAACCACTACTTCCACAAAGTCATCTTGCCCTGGTCTTCACCTTGAGCACAGAGTGGGGGAAAAAAAACTCCTCTTCCTCTTTTCGTGTGTTGTTTTTGGTAACATATCTCAGCAGAGGGGTGACATGCAGACTTACCACCACATAGCAAATTAAATGAACTGTCTCTGATTCTCCTACTATTGCATATTCAGTCTAAAAGCAAAAACAGAGGTTTGCTAATTCAGCTACACGATCACAGAATGTCCTTAAGCACACAAGCAGTGTAAAGCATTAACTAACTAAAAGCAGCTGTTGCATTCTTGGGTACTGATGGCTATATCTGGTAGACTTAGATACTTATTTGTGCTTGGAGAAGCTATTTGTAAAGGTGCTTTCTATTCTAAGACAGGTGAGCAGGTTATTCATAGTAACCTGTGTTCTGGTGAGTCAGTGTCTTTGACCATTGTGGAGTTTAGTGCATTAGTGCAGTGTTAAGCTTGTAGGTTAATACAGGGGATCACACACATACACAAACTCTTCAGCTGCATGCAGGTCTTCCACGAGCCAGACTTTGTTGTGTTTCCACTACAGATACATGCTTTCATGTTTTAAAAGGATTTAACAGACCTACAGATTCACAATCAGGCATGAGAAAGACAGGACCTATGGAAACAGGTACATGTAAAGTTTCACAAAAATGTTAACTCAGAGTCTGCTTACTAGGTTTATCCAGACTTTCCAAAGGATCTGATGATCGTTCTGAACAGATGGAGTTTGCTCAGTCATAATAGATTTTTTGTCATTATAGTAGTTATCATGACATCACAAAGTTATCTTGGCAACCAAGCAAAGTCCATCCGGCTGAAGAGGCTGAAATTAAGATTATGTTTGCAACTTTTGAACATGCACTCAAGAGTCACACAGGGGTCTGGAAAACCAACAGACTGAGTTAGAATCAGTGAGGTCTCTCCCTCTCTGCTTGTGTGTCTCTTTGAGATCATTTGAGTGTTTTTCCCCCCTCTATTTTGTTGCAGAAAGTTCAGTTCTCCTTCTCTCTCCCCCAGCTCAAACTCGCACAGTCCGTCTCCTCCCGGCAGCTCAAACGCCTTCAGTCTGCTGAGCTCAGAGCAGGACAACCCTTCAACCAGTGGATGCAGGTAAGTGCAGTGTAACCACAAACATTTGTTGCCCCCTCATAGGACAGTGGTCTCATTTTAGTTTGCCATCAGTACTGCTTATAAAATGATACATCATAAGTTATGTACTTTTTAAATCTCTTTTTTTTGAGGGAGGTTTAACTTCTTGCGGTATCTGACTTGCTATTGTACTCTTGTATGCTATTGTGCAACTTGCAGCAGTGAAGAGTCTGCCAAAGCCAAGACCCAGAGGGAGGTGATTAAAACTCTGAAAGAGCTGAAGCTCCATCTGCCTGCTGAGAAGAGACACAATAATAAGTCCAGCACATTGAACACCCTTAAGTACGCCCTGCGCTGTGTCAAACAGGTGGAAGGTAAAGTGCATTCTGTTTGCTCTCTTGTGTGTTACTACCAGTGTCTACAGAAAAGATTCCCATTTTTGTGATTTGTTCCTAATCACAGCTTAGAAGTAGATATTTCTACATGAATGGTATCTGTACTATAATAATTCTTAGCTGAATGTTTGATCGGTTAAAGGTGAACCCAAAAAAAAAAGCATGAATGATGTGATTTTAGTCAGTTTTAATGGTCTGTAAATACTTAATTCTGCCTTCTTTAAATGTTCACGGGTGGACATGGGTGGGTTGGAGTACAGTCTTTAGTTTGGTTGTTAGAGAATAAGATGCACTTAGCATAGCACTGAGACATTTTCCATCATTAAAACATGTCTATGATATCCACATGAGTAGTAGCGTATTGTTTTATTTGACTCCTTACCCAACTTTATCAAAGTTGTTTTCATAAACATATGAGTTTATATCATCTCTTCAGTACAGTGTACTCAGCCTTGATTAGGCTTTGACAGTATCACTGCATCTGTTTTTGCAGCCAATGAGGAGTATTACCAGCTGCTGAGGATTAATGACAGTCAGCCTTCAGGTCTTGATGTTTCATCTTATACAATAGAGGAAATAGACAACATTACTTCTGAATACACCCTCAAAAACAATGTGAGTCATTCAATTAAATTTAAAATCATAGTGATATTTACTGTAAATCTATTTATGTACTTATAAAAGCTTTAATATGCACACAATTCAAACTTTGCAACACGGTAATGGAAGTGTTTGTCAAATTAGTTTTGTTTTATTTCGATTTTTGTCTTTTCCACAGGATGTTTTTGCTGTAGCAGTGTCTCTTATCACTGGAAGAATAGTCTACATTTCTGAGCAGGCAGCCTCCATTCTCAACTGCAAAAGAGATGTGTTCAAGAACACCAAGTTTGTGGAGTTCTTAACACCACAGGATGTTAGCGTGTTTTACAGCTTCACAACGCCCTATCGCCTGCCGTCCTGGAGCATGTGCACCGGAACGGGTATGCCAGCCACAAGGCTCTTTGCAGACACAACATCAATAATCCACTTGAGGGCATCTGTATTAATAGCTGTGCTTATGAGAGTGACAAGTCACATCAGTTTTATTTATAACAGATCACACCCTCTATCTGTAGGCCCTCAATTCACATAAGGATAAACCTCAGGAGGACCAACAGTAGGGGTCTCTCTCAATAGATGCTGTATATACAGAGTTGACAGAAATAACAAGTACAATATGGAGAAAGAGAAATAAAATGTGAACACTTTAAGCAGCTTCCATGTAATGGGCTACTGAAAAGGAAAGCCTAGAAATTCACTGAATGGTACAACTTAAATCATTTTCTACATCAGACCCAGAGCTGTGACGGGGTTTCCATATGCTCACCAGTATAACAGTCATTATTAAGCTGCGCTTTATCTTTTGCCATTTGTCTCCCATATGCCTGGATGCACTTTGGCCAGTGGACTCAATTCATTGCATTTAAGTGCAGAGCTGTGCCTCTAAATGTCTTTATTTATTTATTTAATGGAATCAATCCAAGCTTGTTCACATGCAAGAGCCGAGACCCCGACTAGCATTTGACTTGATTGTGTTGCTGTTGAATTTAAACATTTCTGTGTTCCGTTTCAGAGTCATCCCCGCCAGACTGCATGCAGGAGAAATCCTTCTTCTGTCGTATCAGGTGTGTGGGTGTTGGCTCAAACGCATTGTCAGGCCATCTGCTGCTCATACCTGTTTGTAGTTTTTATTCATTCTTTCATTCCACACTGGGTGCTTTTCAATTAGTTTGTGACATCATAAGCGCAAAAACTTTAATCAGAGGCTTTTTCAGACCAGTGTTATACACATGGGCAGACAGACGCATACAGTCGCAAGAAAAAGTAACGGCACTGTTTGCAATTTCCTTGTTTTCTGCATAAATTGGTGATGAAATGTGATCTGATCTTCACCAAAGTCACAAATATCAACAAACACTATTTCTAAGCTGATAAAACACAAACAGTCGTGATCTTTCATGTCTTTATTGAACACACCCATTAAACTTACTGTCAGGTCCGCTCGGCGCGACCTGTCTCTCTTTCTTTTTTCCTCTCCTGCTCCTTTTTTGCGGGATCAACGCCTCAGCTGTGTCGTATCGGGTAATTAGTGACTCGTGGGTCGGTGCTCACACCTGAGGCGTATTCCGGTGATTTGTTGGCTTCCTTGTTTATACCTCTGGCAGACGCCTCGTCACCGCCGGAGCATTGCGACATGTAATGGACAATACTTACCCTATGCAAATTAAAAGTTTATGTTTGACCCGCATTTTTAGACGTGTGTGAGATGCTACACTGACAGTCTCTGTGCGTTTTGGCTTGACCTTATCACGCTAATTATGCGGTTAGCAACACAGAAATAC